CCTCAGAAGGATGCAGCCCATGAATTTGGACACGACCAAAGACTTTCCCCTCATGTCTCAGTTTAATAAGGATAATTGTCATTGGTCATAACAGAAGAAGCTCCGCCCCCGGCAAACCTTAGCTTTTAGCTCTATTACAGCAGCAAGAGGATGTTACTAAGCTATGACATCGTTCTAGAGCTTGGAAAAAGGACCATGCGGTCTTTATGAAGAGTCTGAGCTTGTGCTGCTGTGAATTATGGGATGTATCTCCTTTGCTTTCACAAAGGCTGGTCTGAGACTTCCAGGTCACCTCGCTGTAATTCAAAGTCAACTTTATTTATAAATCATTAGTTATTATTCATCTCTGGCTTTTGTCCTGATTTGGTGCCGTATAAATAAAGCTGACCTGAATCATTAGAAACGCAGCTCAGCGACAGGCTGGTGACCTACGTGTGATGAATGTTATATTAAACAGTGGACTCTGATGGAGAGCTCAGAGCTCACAGACCCGCACCTCAGCGCGGGGCTGTCGGCTTGAACAGCACCTGACATCGAGGTCGTTACCGAAAAGCATTCAGAGAACCAGCGAAGCTTCTTGGCTCTGATGTCGAAGCTCAGCTTGTCCAGCTCCTGCTTGATGTCTCTGGATACTTTTCCACAGAGCAGCGGCGGAGAGCCGGGAACCATGGCTGTGTCTGCACACACACACACACACACACACGCACACACACACGCACACACACACGCACACACACACGCACACACACACGCACACACACACGCACACACACACGCACACACACACACAGACTTCATTATAATGATAAGAAACAAAAACGGTCATAAAGTTAAAATAGTGACAATAAGACATAAATCAGGGAGCGATCAGAAGCAGTGAGCTCGACGCTTCAACGCTCGCCATGACGAAACCGTAACGCCGCCATAGAAACAAACGTTTGTCACTTTGAAGCAGCTCGTAGGTTCGGGGGTTAGCGACCCCGCAGCACAGCGGTACAACCATGACAGCACGAGTGAGCAGATTAAAGTTCAGGTGAGTTCCCACCTGTGTTTCCGATGATCTTCTCCCAGGGCTGGTCAGCGAGGACGTTCAGCAGCAGAGGGGAGATGAGCGGCGTGAGGGACCACAGCCTCACCGTGCTGTCCCTGCTGCAGCTCGCTATGGTGAAGGGACGGCTCTGATGGCACGTGAGACCTGCACACGCACAGAGTGAGCGGCTGTCACAGGAACGCACACGAATGTTTACTGAAGCGCGCCGTAAACAGGAAGTGGAGTCCGACTCACCGTACACGTCGGCTCCGTGGTCGTAAACCGTGTCTAAACACGTGCCATCTCTGGTGTCCCACACTCTGATGGTGTAATCCCAGGAACCTGCGAAACAGCACAAACGAGCACATCGGTCTCCTGAGACCGCCCACTGCACACGACTCACACACCAGGGGAGGGGACGCTTGTAGAGACGTTACCTGAGATGAGCAGGTAAGGCACCTCTGTGTTCCACATCAGGCCTCTGACCGGAGCCGTGTGCCCGCTCAGCACATTGATGCAGGCGTCCTGCGTGTAGTCCCAGATACGAACAGTCCTGCACACACACACACACACACACACACACACACACTCTTTGAACCAAGGCTAACTTGGGACGCCGTGCTCCGCCTCCTCCTCTCAGTGTGTCTGCACTCACCCATCATCCGATCCAGAGCACAGGATGCCCTCTCTCAGGGGGGACCAGCGAACGTGGAACACCTTGGCCAGGTGCCCCGTGAACACCTTCAGAGGCTGGTCCGAGCTCGTGGCCAGGTAGTACACGCGCACGTTCTTGTCCTCGCAGCCCGTCGCTATCATGTCCCTGCAGACAGAAGAACACGGTGACGTTCTCACAGCTTTAAAGGATCACTGCGCTTTATTTCAACCTGCTGCTCAGCGTTAACGAACACGCACCACCCACAGCTCCTCCATCAGCTGATGTCGGTGCACACGGACCTTTGACCCCTCAGAGCTGCTGCACACTCTTCCCTGGAAACGTAAACCCGCTGTGATGCTGGTTTAAATAGGAAATACCGACGGGTCAAACCGTGACCTCGTCGTTGGTCTCTATTCTCGCTCACACAAACACTGCTGGACATCAGAGGAACTGCAGCGCTGGCTTTGTGTGGCTGCAGCTATACGAAGCGCAGACCTCAGGAACAGACGAGAACAAAGTGCAGACGTTTGTCTGTGAAGCACGTTTGGAGGAAACCAACAGCTCGCAGCAGCCGTCAGCACAAAGGAGGAGGGAGGGCGGTCTGAGTGAACACAGAGGCTACAGCTCGGACCAGACTGGGTCATCGATGGGACAAAGTCCAGGTCTGAACCAGAGGCCAGAGGTGGACCTCCAGAGAGCTGTGCATGAGCAACGCTGTGAAGAAGACTCCTCCACCTGGATGAGACAGACTAATGAAGTCACACAGGAAACATCAGCGCAGGTTCGTCCTGCTACAGGAGGGTGTACACGCTGCTGGACGATGGGGTCAGTGTATCGTGTGTGTGTAGATATTAGCTCATATTTAGCTCTACTGTACACTTTAGCACGTGCTGATTGTTGACACTACAGAGGAACTTAGAAGAACATCATGTCTTCTTCATCGACTGGGACCATAAACTCATCGGACTCACAGAGCTGGTGAGCAGGAGGCTTAAACCGTAACAACAGCACTCAGCCCTGTTCAGTGTAACGTCCAGCTCTGAACCTGCCGTAGACGTTCATGCAAACGAGCCGCTGGGTCCTTTAAAGCACTTGGGTGACACGTTTTGTGCCTGGATAACCTCCAGACAGCCCGGGCTGTGACACTCACCGTCCTCGTCCTGTGTCCCCTGTTTTTCCTTCTCCGAGCTGTGACATCCTACCATGTTGCTTAAATGATTCAAGTGAAGCCAAACGATGTGGACGCAGGTCTTACTTGTTGTTCTGGCTCCAGTCGCAGCCGAACACAGCAGCGGGGTGTTTGTACTTGTGCAGGATTTTACCGTCGATGGTCCGGATGATGCTGTCGCCACAACAACAATAAAAACACGAATCACTGCAAAGGACAAACACGACGCCGTCGTCGGGAGAGAAGAGGAAGCACTCACCAGAATCCGTCTCCGCTGCAGGTAGCGATCCGCTTTGAATCCTTGTGGCTCCAGGAAATACAGAAAATGCCGTTCTTACCGTGCTGGAGGAAGACAGACAGACGCATCACGCTGTGCATCGTGCGATCGGGTTCAGACACACGGGGGCGCGGCCCTACTCACCTCGTTGAAGCGAGTGATGATTTTTCCTTTCCTGACGTCCCAGATGAACGCTCCGTTACGGGACGTCGCCCCCGCGATGCAGTTCAGGTCTCCTTCACAGAGACACAAACACGTCATCAGCTCATCTACACGACGCAGTGAAACGCTGCTGCTGCTGCTTTAGTGACACAAAGCGTCTCAGATCACCTCAGTTTTTAAACGATGGTTTCTATTATGAAGGAGACAAAACCGACCTGCTCCTCTTATTGATCGACGAAGAAGAAAACAGGCACAGATGATTGATTTCTCAAAACAGCATAAACCCTGTGGGCAATCTAAAAGCTCTGTGTGTGAACTTCCTGTTATCTGTGAGCCTCGGATTAAAGAAACTGTCCCTGCTGATGAATTGGAGCGCACAGGAAGCACAGCAGCAGCGAAGCATCGCCAGACGTACAGGAAGCATCAAAGCTGGTCTGAGGGCGTCCACAGCAAACAGAAACTTTGAACCAGCTGGTTTTTCCCTCTGACTCATGATTCTCTCAACATTGAAACGGTGGCTTTGCTCGGAGTTTAACCACACACTTCATCATCGTGTTCATAAATAAGTGTTTTTATTACACAGAGAAAACTCAGGAAACAAGAAGGATCCTAGAAAGTGTCGATAGCAGCTGATGTCGACACCAACCTGCTCCCGGGGTTTCACAGTTAATGCTAAACTGGATTTGTGGGTTTTCCCAAATTAGGCAAAAAGCAGAAATAAAAAGCCCGACGGACAGACGGGATCATCGTCCAGGTGGGAAGTGTTTGTGGTTGAGTTTCCTGTTCCCGCAGAAACATGAAGACTGTGATGCTCGCTGTGCTGCTGCTGCTGGCCGTCAGTCAGAGTGAGTTAACCCGCAGACCTGCTCTCCGTTCGTCTGTTACATTTATTTGATGTTCGTAAGACGGTCTGTCGCGGCGTGAGTGAACCGTGGGGCTGCTGGCGACGGCTGAAGGTGGTTCTTTGACGTGTTTTGCAGGTGAAGCCTTGGAGTGTCACTGTGGAGGCCAGAAGTTCTGTTCACGTCCTGTGGAGACGTGCTCCAGCTCCAACGATGTCTGCTCTACTCTCGTCATCACTTCTGGGCCGGGTAAGTCTCGCCTTGCGTCGCTCTGACGTTTATGCAAAGAAAAGAGAACAAATGCATGCTGGGCCGCCTCACGGGCACTGTGAGCGGCTGGGACGATGTGTGACGGTCACTTCTGTCCTTTGGTTTTCACAGTGGTAACGCACACAAAGGGCTGCTTGAAGTCGCTGGCCTGCAGGATCCTGAATCGTCCGCCCGTGATGACTGTCAGCTGTTGCAGTTCTGATCTGTGCAACAGATAAACCGCTGCCACGCGGGACGTCGCCCGATTGGTCGACGCTCTGCTGCCGTGTGTTGTGTACTCTAGAGCAATAAAGATCAGCTGACTGTATTTACTGTCTCCGCTCCGTTTTTATCATCAAACTGATTTATTTCCACTTTGAAATATTTCTCTGACATGTTACCATAAAGTGTCGTTACGCGCGGTTAGCTCAGGTCGCTAATGATGAGACTTCAGGACGAGAAGCCCCCAAAACACCGAGTGATGTCACAGTGGCCGTCGTTTATTTACAGTCTGTGATGTTTTAACGCTCTGTGTGCCGCTGCTGGCTGATGGAGACACCCTCAAGTGGTCAGTAGAGGAACTGCAGCTCGCTTCATTTTCAGCTCCAGAGGTTCCTGCGTCATTATCAGGCGGTGCAGTCCTAAAAATAACCTTTAGAAAGATGGACGTGTGAATACGATTATCGACTTTAGATGTATCCTGTCATTTTATACGCTCATATATAGAATATATGTTTCATGCATGTCAGCGGTATCTCTTATTAGAACCGTGTGACCTGTAACTGTAAACCTTTGTTGCATCGTGGGAATAAAGAAAAACATAATAATTTGGTCAAAGTGAAATCTGCATTTCCACAGTGGAGAATAATTTAAAGCCGTGTTATTTAACCACTTCATGGTGTGTGTGCGTGTTCGCTGTGAGCCGGCGAATTTTAGTCCAACAGCCAAGAAAACGTGAATGGATTAGAGCGCACACAGGAAGCACAGCAGCGGCTGCCGACTGAGGACGAAGCAAACAGAAACTTTGATTGTGACGTCAGCGCGAGTTCCCGTGGTTTCACAGTTAATGCTAAACTGGATTTGTGGGATTTCTGTGGTTGTGCAAATAAAAAGCCCGATCCAGAGGGTCATCCAACGAGGTCATTGTCCAGGTGGGACGTGTTTGTGGTTCAGCTTCCCGTTCTCGCAGAAACACGAAGGCGTTGCTGAGCGTCAGAGCGAGTTGACCTGCAGACCTGCTCTCTGTGGGTCATCAGTTATTTGTCGTGTTGTGTTATGTTGGCTTGCAGGATGTTTTGACGTGTCGCTGTGGAGGTGATTGTTGACATGCTGTGGCTCTGACTACGTCTGTGCTTCATGTGTCGTAAATATGGAGTTCTGTACTGTCAGGATGAAACATGCAGTAAAACTTACGATCCATCCTGATCCTCGACTGCAGAGTGTGGGAGAATGACACTCCTGCTGATGAACTGACACCGTGCACAATGTCTGTTTGTACTTTATTATCACTTTGCTGGTGAGACGTGATTTTAGTGGTTGTGGAAACGTCACACGTCACTCCGGGTTTGTCTCCTGTTCAGCAGCAGCACATCGAGCATTTCCAGGTAAAAGCTTCGTCACTTTTACAGCCACAGGCTTCTTCTGTTTGGGCCAATCTGACCTGCATTCTTCCTCATGTCCAGCAGGGGGCGACTCCTCTGTTGGTATAAAGAGGGAGTCTGAGACGATGAGCTGCTTCTCTGTTTGTTCTTCTTTCTTCACGTTTTCAGCTGACTTCAGTTCAGTAGATGAGGCGAGCAGACACAGATCTAAATGTCTCTCCACTGCACGAGAACGCCTTCGACTTCTCTGCCTTTGCGCGCTACAGCCGGTCTGCAGCCGTATACGAGGAACGCGTCCTTATCCACAAAGGAGAAGTCCGCTGTATTCAAAATGTTGGGGGAACGTGGCGCCTTCTACAAACTGCAAACCCACTCCTTAGTTTTAATACACGAATTATGAGTTTATGAGAACACATCAGATTATCAGAAGACGTCATTACACACTGTTCAAAGCATATCTATAAGAACTACATCATGTTTTCTATTAAATAACCTCAGAAAATGACTGACTGCACCTGTAAGGTTTTTCTAAATCATTATTTTTTAAACATGAAGTGTTGATCATGTATCGACTGATATGTAACACAAAGACAAAAAGTTGTTTATTTGTAATTCCTAGTTTTATATCTTTTGGAGAAACATCTTTTATATACTTATAAATGCACCATGGGAGGCTTGGAGTGAAACAGCACGTCAGTACACTGCATGCTGTGCATGCTGTTGTACTGACAATAAAGCTCTTGAATCTTGAATTATATCTACAACAAGCTAATAAAGCTGAGAACAGCCTCACCGGGTCCCTCCTGAGGTTTTACATATCACAGAGGTTTCACACAGTTACGTGTGTGTGTGTGTGCGTGTGTGTGTACATGCATGCGTGTGTGTGTGTGTGCGTGTGTGTGTACATGCATGCGTGTGTGTGTGTGTGCGTGTGTGTGTACATGCATGCGTGTGTGTGTGCATGCGTGCAGCTAGCCTACCCGGAGCCCAGGACAGGGAGTAGACCACTCCTTCGTTTCCGGGAGAGGTGTAAACAGCTGTTAGAGTGTTTGTGTCCCAGATCTTGATGGTTCCATCGAAACTGGCCGTGGCGAGCAGGTTGGGATCATCGGGCTTAAATTTGCAGTCGAAGATGGTTTCTACGTGACCCTGAGGAAGAAGCGACACGGTGAGCTGAAGCTCCTTTTTTGTCACTCACGTGTGAGGATGCCAAAGAATACCAAGTCTCGCAGGAAGTCCCACTTCTTGGCTCCCATGTCGTAGAGCCCCACGCCTCCATCCATGAAGCAGCAGACGGCGTGGCCCGGAGGCAGAGAGAAGGAGCGGTTCTGCGACAGGGTCGGGGGAGGGACCGCCTCACTGGTGGAACTGGTGTACTGACTCTTACTGGGGGAGCAGGAGCTCTGAGCTGCAGAGAGAAGAGGGCTGTGACAAACTCACCTGTGGAAAGTGTTAGCTGGATCCAGGGTTTTAACAAGAGAACCTGATGCAGATGAGCTGCAGCTGTAATCCTGCACGCGCAGTGCAAAACCAAAATCTTATGAAGACTATTTAACAAAATCCAGATTCTGGATTTTTAACTGTTTTCTCCTTGAAATGTAGAACAGTCACTGTGAGCTCAGCACTTCTGGCATTCATTAACACTTTTGTGATGTTGAATTTAACCGTTTAGACAGCAGATACACAGAAAAATCTACTTTTCATCATTGGAAAATGATCCAACACAGGCAGTTTGTAAAACTCTGTATTAATGTGAACGTTCATCCACTGCCAGCGCTGAGTGTGAGAGGAAAGCAGGTCTTCTCCTGGCCTTTAAAGGATCCTTACATCTTTGTTTAACTGCTGAGTAACTTTCTGCTCTTAAATGTCTAAGAGATCTCTAATACTGCACAGCTATCAATCTGTTTCAACTTTAGTGAGAAATGAATGAAAAATAGTTGGACAGTGCATATTTAATCTTTGCTTCCACCTCGGATGGATG